ATGTGGCATTGGAATCCAAACGTGCATTGGAATAGGAAAATTTATTTTCCCGGTACTAACCAAAGCATTAAAAACGGGAAAATGCTGTTGGAAACAAAGATAAGAGTGCCAAAATAATATGATACTTCCTATATGGGAGTGAATGCTAAACAACCTTCTCAGTGAAGAGAAAACTGGAAGAAAAAAAAATAGCAAAAAAGATGCTAAGAATACAAGTGACTGAGCACCTAAACAACGAAAATTTCTGAAGCACAATCAGAACAAAAAAAAACAAACAAGAAAGAAAACATTTATACACATAATCAGAAAGACAAAGTGGGGGAACTTTCTTGGACACAAAACGTGGAAGACCGTCTTAGACAATGTAAGACTGACATGACATATCGAAGTAAAAAAAAAATGGACAGTATCAGCTACCTGATGACTCTGTGAGAATACACGAGGGAATGGTGTGTTGTATCCCTTGACCATATTGTATACATAAACGCTTTATTTCGCATAGTGAACTGTTCTTCCCTATATACACGGTGTATCAAAAATACTTTTACAAAATCTGGGAGTGGTTTGGTCCCACCAAAGCTATTTTCATTCAACTAACTACAACACACGTTAAACCTTGAATACAGACTAGCATCAAATGTAAACGAATGACAAATGTAACCTCGTCTTAATGCTCACACATCGACATTTGCCGTAAAATTACTTAATTAACCCAAAAGCGAAGGATTTGCCGATATATACTTATATGGATTTTGTCCCTGTTTCGGTTCGAGGAATCCGTTCCCAAAGTTTGTAAAAGTATTTCTTATACGCCCTATATATAGAGCAAATTTAGGCACCCCCGAGGTGGCGTGATGGTTAACAAACTTGTCTCGCTAGAACAATTAAGACTGAGTAGTGAGTTCGATTCTCACTGGGTGCCCCATACGTTTGGCCTTGTGCCACATCTTAGCTACGCCCGGGAAATCACTATATATATAGATTAAATTTTATAGAAAATGTATGAAATCTATTCTCATTGCATAGACGATTCGACGTATCACAGACTAACATTAGACTTTTAATATTTTGATTGATCTTGCCAGAGATTGTGTAATACAAAACACATTCTTTCGGAGAACAGATACACAATAATGAGCCATAATGTGTCACGAAATCTCTAAAGAGATATCCTTTATTTTCTTCAACAAGTATAACAACACTGCATTCAGTTACATCTATTATCCGTGCTCATAAAGATGAACTATCAGGAAAGATAAACTTTGAAAAAAATGTCTTCTCTATCTCAAGAGTGCTCGGTTATTCATAGCTATATCTATCTATCTATCTATCTATCTATCTATCTATCTATCTATCTATCTATTGTTACGCCCGGGGTTTCGTTGGGACTACGATAGTCAGGACACAACGAGAAAAATAAAAAAAAAATAAGTAAGAGATCCCAAGTTTCGATATATAAAATAAAGAAAAGAACGTTGGGAGGGGAATTCTTCAATTTCGGACGTCGGTAAACGCAGAGAGAAAATGAACAATTCGCAGACACAGAACAACAGAAGACAACACGAGAATATATAATAATACAAAGATTTTATTGATAGAATACACGGAGTGTGAATGTAAGAAAAAGAAAAAGAAAACTAAATAATACAAGGGATGGGGAGATAAGTTACCAATTAAACAAATACTAATGCGGCGGCGAAATACATATGAATACGGAGATAGCAGATTATAAGATATGGAAAAACATGCAGAAACTTACATAAGGTTGGAATCGACGTCGATTGACTATTATCGGGGTACAGTTTGTTCAAAGGATATTCATACACTTCTTTGAAAGTAACAGATGGGATTGACAATGTTCCAACATGAATTTTTGACTGGCGACGTCCAATCCGTGTTGATGGCACACAGAAAAATCCCGGGAATGTAGCCGATTTGGGTTGACGATGTTGATCTAGATTCTCGTGTCGGCCCTTTGTTGTTTTTTTTTAATGTTTCATTAAATATAGCTCACACAAGGCAAATCTGATGCATTTTTATTTAGTTTGTCTAATATTCTGACATTTTTCCGTTTCGTAGGAGTAATAAATAACTTATATATAAGTAATTAATTAATAGTAGCGTCTCTTCCGAGCCTCGCGAAATGAATGTGTCTGTGGGATCGGAGTGGAAAATATCTATTAAAACAAATACAGACCCCCCCCCAAAAAAAACGCTTCAACACAAAATTTCCTCTGCAGAATAAGATGACAATTATACTGGATGCTAGATGATTTTTGTAAAGGTCCTCTCTGACAGCGAGATGCCTTCCCTGACGAGACTTGTGAAGGATGATTGTGTTATCAACTAGAATTTTCACTTTGCATTGTTGCACATTATGGGAAGCTAAATCCCTTTTATGGCATTTGGTTCATATAGGTGACACATGAATCGTCTGCAAAATGAGGTGGTGTTATGACCGATGTAACTAATTCATTTACGCTAAGAAACACTGTGTAATACTAGGCGTTTAAATTCATAAACTATATATATATATATATATATATATATATATATATGTGTGTGTGTGTGTGTATGAATGTATGTGTGTATGTGTGTGCATGAATGTATGTGTGTGTATGTGTGTGTGTATAATGTATGTTGGCAGAAATTATTAAAATGAATGTATATTATATGTTTATTAAATTTACTGATCCTATCATTACCGTGTGAATAAGGCTTAGCATAGGCATAGTCAAACTTCATATTGGATCCAAGCTTTCGACTCACATGCGTTATCGTCAGTTGTTTGGCTAAGGATGTGAAAAGAAGAATGTTAAATGTATTATAAGATGCTCATTACAAGTGTTTTTACTGAAGCTAAATAAATTACCAAAAAAAAGCAACCAATCTTTAATAGAAACGACTATAGTCATAAGTCGTGTATTCAAGAATTCCTATAAAATATTACACGTTATTGAACATTGCCGATAAAGGAGTAGTAAGAGTAAAGAGGCAGTCGGTGAGTCGGTCGGTGAGTCAGTCGATGCTGGACGACATTTGAATACTAAAGTATCAGCGACCACTAGATTACTCTGCGTTATACCTATTATATATCAAGTTCCTAACGTTTTGTACGTCGAACCTATTTTAGGACCGACTTAGTACAAATACAAGCCTCCACTGTGAAATAACTCCACATCACTTATTTACTCAATTGTTTGCCCAACCTATTTTACCTCCACATTACAGTTTTCACTGTAAGTTGAAGTGTACTGCCTTTACTACGCGGCCCACTACACCTCAGTACTTCGCTGCCTATTTGCTTATACGTTTGCATTACCCATTTTATCTCCGCGTGCTGCCTCTACTGCGCAGCCCAGTCCATCTTAGCGTTCCATACCTATTTCTACCTATTCTTAGTTCAGTTTTGCTATTAGACAGTTAACTGCTGTCGCAAGTTACTTCTCTTCTGCCTTTACTACGCGGCCCAGTACACCTCAGTGTTTCATTACTTTTTAACCTTCAACGTTTCAACGTAACCTCTTCCTACAGCGACGTTTTCGTGCTGCCAGAAAGAACGGCCCATAGCTAGGAAGCTTTTTCCATAACGCTCCACTGCATTTTTAGTTTTCGTATACAACGAGGTTGCACCGCTTCAGCTTCGGCATCAACTTCTATTTGCTTTCTTATACAGCATTTCTACAACCATTCAAATGGCTCCTACACGACGAACATCCGCACGTCAGCAACTGAAGACCCCTAATACCGTTATCGTTACACATGCAGAACAGGCGACTGTGGATGAGCACATAATAACTCCGGTTACAGATGATCATATAGCGTCTACTTCAACTTCTGCTTTGCACTCTTCTGCGTGCCGTGGAGATGATTAACCCGGCAGCTCTGCAAATGCTGCAAAAACACCCAGGCGAGGCAACCTTAGCAGGCGTTCTAAAAAAGCCTCACCTGCTAAGGGGAAACGGGAGCAGGATTCCATTGAGTGCGCCTCCTTGGGGGAGAAGTGGCTGGCGTCTACTTCAACCTCTACTTTGCACTCTTCTGAGTGCCGTGGCTATGACCGACCCGGCAGCTTTGTTAAGCGTGCCAAAATCCTATGTCGAGGCAACCTTAGCAGGCGTTCTAAAAAAACCTCTGCGGCAAAGAGAAAGCGGGAGGAGGAAACCGAGATAGAGGCCCTGTTTGAGGCTTTCCAGTCAATCTCAACGGAGGCAGTATGTTTTGTCACATGAAACGCTTGGTGAGCGTAACTACCGTTTGTACTGCAAATCAGTTTACACATATTCGTTGAAAAGTAAGAGGAAACTACCTAAACGCTTGTGAGACAACAAAAAAGCGGCTTCATTACAAGCGCTTTTGCGGTCTCGACAGAGCCCACATCGAAAAGCGACTGGCAATGCAGCCGACGCCGCTGTAACTTCCATTCGACGGTCCCAGGAGACCACGGCTGAGAAAACCTCACGTAACGCAGCGAAAGCTGCGGCTACGTCCATTCGACGGTCCCAGGAATCCATGACTGAGAAAATTGCACGCCATACAGCCGACGCCGATGCAGCTTCTGCTGCAAGGGCGTCGGAAGTTCCGCGCAAAAGCGCACAAGGCGGCAACGCGATGCAATTTCATCTTCCGCTGCTAGAGCTGTAGAAGGACCTACTGAAAGGCTTGAAATGTTGCAGACTGTTAACCAGCGCCGCCATGCACTGCGAGGGATCTGTAGCCCACCACAGCAGTTTTGGTTTAAGCTGGCGTTCAACTATAAGACAGTTTTGAGGCTTTCCGGTCGCAAAGACCTCTAAATAGGATCCATGTCAGTTGTCTGTGAGCATTGCAATGCCAAAAAATGGCCTGGAGAATCTGCAGGTTTGTGTTATTCAAACAGTAAGGTACAGTTGCCACCTTTTCAAAAGCTACCTGCTCCGTTGAAAGCTCTGTTGGAGTGTTCCAGTCCTGACTCCAAACATTTCCTCGCAAAAATGAGACAATACAATTGTGCCTTCCAGATGACCTCTTTCGGCGTTAATGCCTTCCGCGAAGTCGGTTGGAATCCCACCTTCAAGGTTCAAGGTCAAGTTTTCCACCGGATTGGGTCTCTTTTGCCGGAAACTGCCACTGATTTGGCCTTTCTACAAATATACTTCATTGCTGACAACAATCAACAGGCAGATGCCCGCATAGGCATTATTCCCGAGAACGATTCAAGCCAGCACAATCATCCTCGCAGGGATATCATAATGATTCTCCAACAAATGCTCCACGAGACAAACAGCTATGTCCGCAGTTTTAAGTATGCTCTCGAAAATAAAACTTCTTCTGATTTCATTATTGTAATTGATGCTGACAAACGGCCTCAGGGAGAGCACGAACGTCGTTACAATTCTCCCGCAAGTAACGAATTTTCCGTCATTGTCAGCGGTGATCAGCACAACAGACGTGACATTGTTATCGAATCGCGCGGCAGTGGGCTCCGAAGAATCAGTGAAACGCACCGGTCCTACGATGCAATGCAATACCCACTTCTCTTCCCTGACGGAGAAGATGGGTACCACTTTGGCATTCTGCAAAATGGGTCCACCTTAAAAACAGTGTCTTGCAGGGCTTTCTACGCCTACCTATTGATGGTACATGAGGGTGCATTCAATCATCTTCATCGAAGCCGGCAACTTTTCTATCAATTCATAGTAGACATGGCTGCTAAGATGGAATCCGAAAGACTTTGTTACATTAGATTGAATCAGACCAAGTTCTGCTGCGACTCTTACATTCACTTCCATGATGCTTTACGAAATGACGCTGATCCACCCAATGCAAGATGTGCATATTACCTGCAATGTTCACAGGCAGTCCACAATACATGCACGCGAGGACGCAAGACGCGATGACATACGTTCGTAAGTACGGCCGACCAGACCTATTCATAACTTTCACGTGTAACCCAAAATGGTACGCAATTGCTAAAGAACTTATGCCAGGGCAATCGGCCTACGACCGTCCCGACCCCATTGCGCGCGTTTACCATCTGAAGTTGGGAAAGGTAATGGATGTGATGACAAAGGGACAGGTTTTGGGGGCTGTTTGCTGTCGCATGCTCACTAATGAGTGACAGAAACGCGGCCTGCCTCACGCACATATACTAATTTGACTGTGCTCCAAGATTGAGGCCACAGAAATCGATCATCTTATTTCTACTGAAATTCCTGATCCGTCGGCTGACCCTGAATTGTACGAAATAGTGACAACCAACATGATTCACAGTCCCTGCGGATCGCATTACAATTACACCAGTTGTCACAACAGCGACGGCAAATGCACCCGGCAGTACCCACGAGATTTCGTGAGCGAAACCATTACAGGGAGCGATGGTTATCCACTGTATCGGCGAAGGAGTCCCGCTGAGGGAGGATTTACAGCCGTGGTAAAGGGCCACCAAGTGGATAACAGATGAGTAGTGCCATACTGTCCCTTACTAAAAAAAGCGTTCAATGCGCGCATCAATGTCGAATATTGCCATTCAGTTCGCTCCATCAAGTATGTATGCAAGTACATCAACAAAGGGACTGATGCTGCAATATTTGGTATTAGGCAGGAAAGTTCCGTAGACGAAATCCAGGACTTCCTTGCAGGGCGCGTCATTAGCAGCACAGGGGGCCTTGGCACATATACAGCTTCCCCATCCACGAACGCTTCCAAGGAATCGTCCAGCTGGCTGTGCACCTAGAAAACGACGAACTTCGTTATTTTTCTGCGGATGCAGCAATGGATGTGGCTGCGCGTACCAGACACAACGCTTACAGCGTTCTTCAAACTTGGTCGACAGGACGAGTTTGCTAGGACTCTACTGTACCCAGACGTGCCTTCATACTATGTATGGACAAAAAAAAAAACACCTGGGCTCGGCGGAAGCGCGGGGCTAACGTCGAGGGCTATCCAGGCGTCAAAAAAGACGCCACACTCGGAAGGGTATTCACGGTTCCCCCATCGCGACAGGAATGTTCCTGCGATTCCTTTTGCACGAAGTTAGTGGTCCAATGAGCTACAATAACTTACGGACGTTTAATGGAGTTTTACGTGACACTTTTCGTGAGGCCTGCCTCCGTCTCGCCCTTTTGGAAACGACAGCCAGTGGGATGCCACAATGGCTGAGGGATCTCTTTTAAAAATGCCCTCTGCTTTGCGCCACCTTTTCACCACGATCTTACAAATGTGCGAATCCAGTGTTCCCAAATCACTTTGGGACAAATACAAGGACTTTTTTTCCGAAGACATACTCAGAGAAGCGCAACTGCTGTGTCCAACAATGGCTATTACAGTCAACGATGGAATTTACAACAGGGCGCTTATAATCATTGAGAACCTGTTTGTTGAAATAGGGGGGGATCTCTCACTGCTATTGGGCTTCCAACGCCAGATCGTGTAGCTTCCTCCAGTCTCTCAGTCGAGATTGTGCGGGAGACATCCTACTATGTTGAGGAACTCAACGCCTATGTAACAACAAATGAGCCAAAACTTCTCATAGACCAAAGGGCCGCTTACGATGCGGTTCTTGCATCCACCAGGCAGGATACAGGATCAATTTTCTTCCTGGACGCGCCTGGGGGAACGGAAAAAACGTTCGTATCAAAACTGCTTCTTGCAGAAATTCGGTGCCATGGGGAAGTGGCGCAAGCAGTAGCGTCTTCAGGCATTGCTGCCATATTACTACCGGGTGGCCGAACAGTGCACTCAACGTTTAAACTTCCGCTTGACCTGATTAAGACAGAAACAGCTGTATGCAGTATAGCCAAGCAATCAGGTCTAGCGGAGGTACTCAGGCGATGTAAGCTCATCGTCTGGGATAAGTGCACTGTCAGTCCCAAAGCTGCACTCGAGGCTGTAAACCACTCTCTGAAGGATATTTGAAACTCCAATGACCTTATGGGAAGTATAACTGTCCCTGTATCCGGTGACTTTCGCCAGACCCTCCCCGTTGTACCTAAGGGGACAAGGGTCGACGCTATTCGAGCGTGTTTGAAATCGTCACAACTTTGGCCCACTGTTAGGCCATTGCACCTTACCACCAACATGCGTGCACACCTAACTGGCGATGTTGGGTCCGCCGAATTTTCGAATTCATTATTAGCCCTTGGCGAAGGTATTATTCCAGCGGACATTAATGGATTTGTAAACGTCCAAGGGTTGTCTACAGTGGTCACAACGCCAGCAACACTCATGGAATCAGTTTTTCCTGATCTTCAAACCAACTACAGCAATATTGAGTGGTTTTCTGGGCTGGACATTCTTGCCCCACAAAACACCACTGTTACAACCCTTAATAGACACCTTCTGGAAACTGTGCCAGGGGTGTTGCACGTTTACAAGTCCACTGACAGAACTCCAGACCCCGCTGAAATGGCGAACTTTCCAGTGGAGTTCTTAAACAGCCTCCACCCCGCTGGTCTCCCTCCTCACATTCTGGAACTTAAAGTGGGGATCCCGGTAATTTTGCTTAGAAACCTGCGTCCACCGAAACTCTGTAATGGGACCAGGATGGTTATTCAAGCCCTACAACTAAACATTATTGAGGCCAAAATTATAACTGGCTGCGGTAAATGGCAGCAAGTGCTTATCCCAAGGATGCATTTGTATCCATCAGATGCCGACGTACCCTTCACTTTCAGAAGATCTCAATTCCCAGTCGCACCCTGTTTTGTTATGACAATTAATAAGGCCCAAAGACAAACGCTGTCTGTCACTGGTGTACACTTCGAGGAGCAGTGCTTCTCACACGGCCAACTTTACGTTGCCTTCTCTCGAGTCGGCAGGCGCAAGGATGTGTTCCTTTATTCACCCTCGCAAAAAGCTAAAAATGTGGTCTACACTGAAGTCCTCAGCCAGTGATACGCAAACTCCATTCCATTTTTCCTTTCCATGCATGAAAATTGAGGTCCCTGTCAGATCAAATATTCAATGCTGGATTTGTAGTTTTGAATAGAGACATAGTAGTATAACCAGTCTCAATATTTCAGGAAACTGGGTTGGGTGTTAACATTCTTTTTCATTCGGTTTTTCTAGTTACGAGTCCTTTTTTAAAGCTGATCGTTTTTTTTGTTCATTTTGCTTATTTTTTTTTTCGTAACAGATTTAATGTTTAGTATAGAGGTTAGAAAAAATTCTCAGTGTGAGATAGGCAAGAAGTATGGCATGTAGCAACATCAGCACGGAAAAAAGGGCACTCCTTTAAAGGCAAGGAAGGCAAAAATATTTTAAGTCAAGTGATAGCGATTGCTGTATGAGTTGTACGATTTTTGAATCAAGCACGGGCAACGCCGAGCCATGCTTCTAGTTATATATATTTATATATATAAAACTGAAATTAGCTTGAATATATATATATATATGTTTTATATACACACACACACACACATATATATATATATATATGTATATATATATATATATATATATATAGTTATGTATAAATATATATATATATATATATATGTCTGTGTTTATATATATTTGTGTCTGTATTAATATATATATATATATATATATGTGTCTGTGTTTTATATATATATATATATATATATATATATATATATATATATATATATATAGATAGATAGATAGATAGATAGATAGATAGATATCGTAAATTTAACCACAAACATTTACTAATACAGCATATTTATTGTGTACAAATAAATCTTTGACATTATATTATTTTAAATCTTTGTCTGAAATCATTCTCCGTTCATATTGTCGTTATGCTTCAGGATTACCAGAGAAAAATTATTAAATTCTTATTAAAATGCAGAACCTCCAGGTTTTATATAATTGTTTTCGCTTGCTTTTACAGAAGTAGTTGGAAACAATCCAATAAATGCCAAATTAAAATAATGAGAAATCAATTAAATTTGGAGAAGTATCTCTTCATGTCATTCGTCATGCAACAAAAATGAATTTAGTAATTACATTGACTTTCCTGAAGGCGTCATCTTCTATCTGCAAAACGATTTTATGTCAATGGAACAAGCTAAATTTCCCCCAGAGTAAATTTTGCCGTATTAATATAATTCATCTTCCTATTCCATAAGATCTATAACATTCGTGCTTTTTTGAAACTCATAGACATCTTCATCTTTTAGAAATATTCAACGCATTTCTATTATGATTATACCAAAATTTAATCGAACAAGGACGTAAGAATCTTGAAAGTTCCAAATAATCCATTTACACTTACAAGAATTTAGAACTTCAATGAATGCAATAAAAAAATAAAATATTATAAGCAATATAGTCCCACTTCAAATTTTACAATAAGTTGCTATGTTTAATTTCCAGGTATATTTCGTAAAATTTGCTGGCATCTCTCTTACATCAAAAAACATGTATCCAAAAACAAGTGAGTTTAATATACATATATATATATATATATATATATATATATATATAGAGAGAGAGAGAGAGAGAGAGAGAGAGGGAGATAGAGAGGGAGAGAGAGAGAGAGTCATAGAGAGACACAGAGAGAGAACATTTTCTGTCTTTAAACATTTTAATACTACAATGCATTCAAATACAAGGTTCGAGAACCAGTCATCCTAGAGATGACTTTGCAAATTTTAACTATGATGTTTTCTGTATCAATCGATATGTAGATGGTTAGGAATACAATTGCAGGGATGATAGTAACAAATAATGTTAGGACTGTGACATGAAAAGATCAGTATTCTTCTTGTCTTCTCAGGATCATGGCTCTCCACAACTTTCTGTCACTTGTAGCTCTTAATGTATTTTGTCTTTATGCTTTATTCCTAAACCGTCATTAGATATCCATTTACTCAGACTCAATAAGTTTTGTATACGTTGTTTTCCTCTGTCGCTCTTGTCTTCAACCTGGCCT